TATTAAAATCTCTATAATTAGAATTACAATAGCTATTATTCAAGAAGTTTTTCAAATTTTTAATTTAAAAACTAAATTTCTGTTTTTATTAAAAGTACTATTACAATATTTTATAAAGCATAATCATTATAATACAATTAGAGTATTTTTGTAAGCAAACTTCCTTAAAGTCAAATTAATATTCATATATTAATTTTGGCAACAATATCATTAATAGAAGAATAAATTTAGAATTGAAAATTTTTCCTTTTTTTAATATTAATGATGGTTAATATAATTGTTAATGGTTGGGAATTATTAAATCAGAATATCTGCCTGCTTACAATTTTAAGCATCAAGCAAATGAAATTAAATGTATTTGCCAAAGGCATTATATCAATATCAACTAAAAATTAAAATGAAAAAACCTTTCCTTTTTGCACAACTGATTATGTAGTTCGAAAATTGTATGAATAGATTAATATGATTTACTTTTCTTAAAGAAATGAGATTATTACATCTATAATTTCTACTCATAATTATTTTTAACTAATTAATTAATTAAATGATATAACCAATTAATAGTATAAGGGTTTGAATTTCTAATAGTTTGTTTATTGATTAGTAGGGGGTCTTTAAATTTAATAATTATTCCACAGACCTTTAAGAAAATCTGGGATGATTTCTTCCGACTTCATTGAATTAAATAATAATTGAAAATCAATTTATTATAAAAAATTTAATTCTTTGCCAATCAAAAGTTAAAAATTTAATTTTGAATATAGGTTAATAAAAGTTTACAAAGTGGGTTTGAAACAATTGATCACAACCAAAGAAAAAAAAGGAAGACGCAAAAATTACCCAACACAATCGATGGAACTTACATTTAATTTAAAGCTCTTCAGAGCCCTACCATTGTTGAAAGACAAATCAGCAATCACTTCTTAATGTAAGATGTATTATTTAACTGATTTTTTTTTCAAAACACAGGTTTGGAGACTATTTGATAGTCTGATTGAATTCTTGAATTTCTCCCAATTAATAATAATCATTTGAATGAGCTAAAGAAAAAAGGATATATGAATAATAGTATCAAGGTTATACTTATTTAATATAATATTGATTTAATAAACCCAATAATTTATAAGAATAGGATAAAGGCTAATAGAGCAAAAAAAATTGGAATTCTTGACCAATTAATCTTTTTTTTTTGAAAAATCAAAAAAATACATTTGACACAAAAGTAAAATTTATGGAAATGTGAAATAAAATTATGTGGATGTATGAAAAAATTTGAAGTAAGAAAACTTGATTATATCCTTAGTAAACAATTAAAAGTTAGGTTTCTGCAATAAATTAGAAATAAGAATTCAAAATTTTTGGTAATCAATTCCTCTATGAAATGTATAAGAAATATATTACTTCAATTTAAAATTTTTAACCCTTAATTAATACTTGAGATCGACTGAAATAAATCGTTTTTCAATTTTGAGATCTAAAAAAATAAAATAATTAATAAATTATCTTTCCCTCTCAATTACCTGAAATTTATGATAGAAATTACATCAATATTAGACAGCCAATTTAATTTATTGTGCTAAAATTGATAATTAAATTAATCATAAATGATTTCCTTTAACTCCAACAGTTATTTAATTAATAATACTTAATAGCTATCAATTAATTATTCAAATAATTAAAAATTATACATCAAATACTATTCAATAACTCAAATAATATTATCATTGTCATATTTTATTATCATTATTGATTTCATTAGATACTTTTTTGACAGAATGTAAAAACTTCATCTTTTGTGGTGAAAATATTACCAGATGCAAATAACGGTTTTTTAATATAAATTGAAAGTTAATAGACAATTTGTATTAAAGCATTAGTACTTTTCAAAATGAAATGTTATTTGATTAACTGAATAAATTTTAAGGATCTAACCTTTTTCTTAAGCTTGATAGAATAAATGATTAACAGCTTATATTATACAATCTTAGTATTGATTCTTAACTATTAAGAATCACTAATGATATCCAAAAACAAGCTTCTTTATTGAATTAAGTCTTGAATAAAATTTATTAAACAACCAATTAAATTAGATACTCATTTAAGTACATACTATAATAAGTTTGATAATAATATTTAAATTTTTAAAAATTAAACTTTTATGTAGTTCTATATTTAAACAAAACGATGAATAAAAAAGAGCCCTTTTATTTAGACTAAAGAATAACAATGATTAAAATGGTTTTATTGATTAAAATTCAATTTAGAAGTGCCAACTCATAAATATCAATCACACTAAATGAAGATAATTATATATAAAAATCAATAATTTACAATTGGACTTCAAATGATTTCT